CACTATCCATCCCACGGAGATCATGAGAGAGTCTCTTTGAACTCATCTCAAGCCTGCCAAAATCAAAATGATATGGGAGTATACTAGTCGTAGTAGATAGATTCAACAAATACGCAAGTTTCATAGTGGTCCCCATAGATTGCACTGCAGAAGAAGCAACAAGGCTTTTCCTCCATAATGTGGTAAATCTATGGGGAGTGCTGAGGAGCATCATCAGTGATAGAGACCCTCGATTCATTGAGAGATTTTGGACTTAATTATTCAAGATGTTGGAGTCAAACTTGAATTTCTCAATAAGTTTTCATTCCCAAAGTGATGGGCAAACTGAAAGGATCAATGCACTCTTGGAACTTTACTCAAGGAATTATGTGAGTGCAAATAAGCAAAATTGGGCAAAACTTCTTGATGTGGCACAATTTTCATACAACCTACAACAAAGCGTGGCACTAACATGAGTCCTTTTGAAGTTATCATGGGGCAACAACTTATGGCAGCTCTCACCCTTGCCATTGGCTATGAAGGAAAAAGCCCAACAACATACAAATTTGCTATGTCATAGAATTAGCAAAGGGAGCAAGTTGTGCTTCCCTTCATAAAGAAGCAAAAAGGATTAAGACGTGGGAAAATATGAGAAAAAGATATTTGGGGTTTAAAGGAGATATTGTTCTGATCAATCTCCTACCACAACAATTTAAGACCCTTCTAAAAGTACACAAAGGACTAGTAAGAAAATATGTTGGTCCATTTGAAGTGATCAAGCAAGTGGGAAGGGTTTCTTACAAACTTAATCTTCCTCCTAAATTAAAAATTCACCCAATCTTCCATGTGAGCATGCTGAGGGCTTAACATGAAGATTTGGAGGACCCATCAAGTGGAATATCCAAGCAAGCCCCCATAGCAGTAACCACTTCCTTTGATAAAGAAATAGAAGAAATATTTGTCAGATCGAGTGATCTGCCAAAGATGAGTCCCAAATTACAAGGAATACTTTATTAAGTGGAAGGGTTTGCCAGACAGCGAAGCTAGCTGTGAACTTGAAGACATTTTGTGGAAATTTAAGGACAAGATTCAACAATGCCAGGAGGAAGGCACGATGAGGGCCTCACGAGTTGAAGTGGGGGAGAGTATCATACTTTTGCCATCTAGAAGAGGTTAACCCAAACCCCAAGACCTAGAAGACTCTAGAACCTCACAAGATCCAGATCATGCTAGAATGGAGGAGTTTCAAGACAACTCTGGGATATTCTCGACATCCTTGTATGAAGTAGTGTAATAAACTAGAATAGTATGAAATAATCTAAAAGCAAGATGTTCTCATGTATTCTAGAAGGTTTTCTAGAGTCTTGGGGGGACTATAAATAGAGGTCCCCAATCCTCATTTGGGTTCATCCAAAGTTTTTCAAGCTCTTAAGCCTTGTAAAGTTTTCTTTCTCAATAAGCTTTACTTTCCTTTCCACTTTTCTTCTCCAAATGTCCAAGCATTCTAACCCTTATGTTGTTAAAGTTAGGCTGCTTAGCATAGGCTTTGAGTGCTAAAGACACGCGAGTGATTAAGATAAGGTCATTGCGTGACACTATGCTACAAAAACCATGTCACTTGTGGGCTCCGAAAATTTGGCCCCGGCCTCCCCATCGCGCTTTTCTTTTTTTATTCGGCGAGGGAGTTTTAACAGAATTAAGTTCCGGGGTAAATTTTGGAAGGCAGATGGGTTTGTAGATAAGACATTACCTAGAGATTTCGCCCTCATTTTGTGAGGACTTTATGATCTGAGTTTTGGTTTCCTATAGGCGCAAGCCCCTATAGTTAATTACCCTCGAGGCAGTCGGGCAGCTCGGGCAAGGGCGGGCTGGGGCAGCGGACAGCTCGGGCATGGGCGGGAATCAAATTTTTTTAAATTAAACGGGTTTTCGGGTTGACTCGGCAACCCGTCGGGTCAACCCGAACCCGACCTGTTTTTGTAAACGGGTCGGTTTCCCGGACCTGAACTCGACCCGCTTCGGGTTCGGGTCAACCCAAACCCGAAAATTTCGGGTCGGGTTCGGATCGGGTTTTCAGGTCGGGTCCAATATTGACAGGTCTATCTGTAAGGAGCTTTTGGTGAGGGATCTAGGTGTGCAAGTCAAGAGTTAGGAGGAAGGGGCTTGATTCATACCTATTGGCGAACAACTAATTTCCTTGAAGACTCACTGTATGTTGCATTTCACATTGATTTATCTTTCTTTTGTATTTATTTTCCAGCGTCGGGAGCCTAGGGTGTCGTATATTTTATTTTTTTTTTGTTTACTTAAAACTTTTAAGTGGATTCTAAATCTCTTTTAAATTTTCTAAGTTATAAGTTTTTGCTGAAAGTTTTGGCAGCACTCCGGCGTCGTCCCCACGTAGTGGGATGCTTCGGAGTGTGTAAGGCCTTCCCGCCTGCCAAGAAAGGCAGTCACGGTAGGTGTCGGGTGACACCGCGGCCGCAGTTTCAATCCTCGCTCGCTAAAAAAAATGGTCACGGGGTCTTTGAGCACAGATTTAAAGTATAGTATTTTCCCCGCTAAAAAACAGTGATGGGTACTTAATTAAATAATTTTTCTACAAATAACAAATTTCCCCTCCTGCTAAAAAAAGCAGTCACGGGTACTTAAGTTTCATGCATACGAATTTCTCCGCTCGCTAGAGCGTCACGGGTACTTAAGTTTCCTCGCCCGCTAAAAAAAAAACGGTCACGAGTATTTATTTCATGCACATAAATGTAAATACTAGTTTTTACCTTGGATGTGCAGTAATCGAGGCGGCGACGGCGAATGACGGCAACGTAGGAACCTTGCTTGGAAGGATGAAGGAGGCCGGCGGCTTTGGATCGCAAGAGGGAGAGGGAGGCGGCTTGGAGTCGTGTGAGGGAGAGGGAGCCGTGAGTTTAGCGTGAAAATGAGAGGGGGGGGGAGCGGATATGAGAGTGTGAGAGGTATTTTAGGGTGTTTTTGGGATTTTTTTTTTATTTAGAAAACTCTCCTTTTATTTAGAATCCCTCTTTCTCTCCCTCTTTTTTCTAAAAATTTTTAATTATATTGCACACATTTTTTTTATCTAGCATCGTGTTTTTCGCCACGTCGCCGCTCGCACAAGTCGTCGTCTCGATTCGCACGCCCAAAATTTAAATTTTCGCTGACCGTCGACCTCCATCAATATGGGTGTCGATCTTAGCTGTTTCCGTTGCTCCGGACGCAACGACGCTGTCCGTTTTGCGAACGGAGGTCGTTTCGGCGATTTTTGGTTTTGGGTCGACACACGTCGGGTGAATTATGCGCGATTTCGTGCTTTCTTTTATTTCGAAATTCACCTTGTGCGGTCGACTCGATCCCGACAGTAGTATTGGGGTCAACATCACTATATTAATGAGAATTATGATTTAAAAGCTTCTATGAAATATGAAGAAAAGTTTTTCTATTTTCTTACAATAACAAATTTTAACATTTTAAATAGTGTCCAACTTGTTTGTCTTAATTTTTTTCAAGTTGTGTTTTGTGTTTGTATTTCTATATATTTTTTTCTTGTGTCTATTAATCATAGCTTTGAGCATTGATGGAGGTAAACTAAGGATCTCTTTGCTTTGAAGTATTTTGGGTGTATAACAAACCAAATGTATGAGATTTGAATTTTTAGGTGTTTGGTTGGAAGAAAATCAAATGCGAGATGATCTTTGAAATATTTGGAATTACTTGCCTAGTTCATTTTCTAAAAAAAAATTCCAAAATAGTTTCTAGACTATTCATGTGTGGCCAATTTAGTCTCAAAGTATCATGTTACTCCCCTTGACTTAACCAATTTAATTAAAAATAGACTCTCTTGTTGTAATTGTGATATAAAATTAATCTAAATTTATTCCTTTAACTATTCAAAGTTGATTCCAACAAAGTCTCAAATGAATCATTTTATATTAATTTTTCATAGTCGATGCATTAAGTTGGAGCAACGTGACACTTTGACGCTAAATTGGCCATATAGTCAGGGGACCAATTTTGAAGTTTACATGCTCATGTTTAATATATTCAAAATTTTCTTGATTTGACTAAATTTCAAATATATTGAAAATGCTTCCCCCTTCACAACCCCCCTCCATCGACCACCATTGGCTACCTCTGTTTTTATTGGCCAGCATTAACAATTGTCGTTGATGGCCCCACCAGTCACCACCGCTGTCGAGCTTATCCACCACCGCTAACACTATCCACTCCTATCACTAAATGTCATTCATTTAATATCTAAAACGTGCGCAATAACCAAAAAGTAATCACGTGCATTTCTAGCATACTCATCCAAATAACTCAATTATGTTAAATACATGGCATTTACTTTATACTATTCCTTTTAGTTGATCCTTTTTAAGCAAAACAAATGGTTCCGTAAGTCTCTTTTATTATTCGTTCCCCTCCCTATCCCTTATTATATCAATACTTCTTGTTAGAAACAAAATATTAATACTCAATTTTTAAGGGACGTTTCTCAAGTCAAACATCACAATTTCAGTTGGATTAAGACCTAGTTTATTGAAGCAGTTATTTTTACCTACGTTTTTTGTTTACAGTTCAGTACATTAATTTAGATAATTTTAATAAAGCTTTAGTTTTTGTCGGCTGATTTACCTGTATATTTTTCTTTTTCTTAGGATTTTTTTCTTCCTCTTTTTTCTTGCTTTTTTATGAGTGTTAGATAACTAGCAAAATTTGCAATTTCATTTTATTAGATTAAAAGGTGTCATAAATGCTATTTTCTTTGTATAACTGGTTTTGTTGGCTAACTCCATTTTTTGTGTTGTTTCCGTTCTATTTCATCTGTATGAAAAAGGTTTTCCAACTTGCTTCCAACGCATTTTAATAGTTTATGGCTTAATTTGAATGCTGGGCTTCCTGTTTTTTAGTTTCTGCTTCTTCTCCGTCTTTCCTTTCTTTTAATTTTCTTTTGTAGAAATCATGTGTGGGGTTCACATTTATAATATCGTCATCCACTTTTACAGATATCAGCTGCTTGAATGATCTGGATCGAACTCGTCAAGTACATCCTTTGCTCTCTCTTCTCCCCTTGTGATTCATCCCTTTTGGGTATCAATTTCCTTATCATTGTACAAAATCTATTATTTGTAGGTCGAAGTCGAAACTGTGTCGTCAGATGCTACAAAGTTGAGTATCTTCTGTTAGATTTGTGAAACTAATTGGTGGCATGTCATCTCATTGTTTTTGAACATGAACTGATGATCCCAGGAATGAACTGTTGCGAGCATTGGACTTGAGACTCGCAGCATTAAAGGAAGAATTAACTTCCGCTTTCAATCGTGCTTCTGGTGCCACTTGCTTTAGCAACCAAATTTCTGATTTGGCATCATTTGCTCAGCATTTTGGTGCAACCGAATTGAGGTACCTTTGGACCATACCTATGTTTTTCCTACTAATCTCGACATCAAATCTGCAGTTCCATATTTCCAGACTGTGGAATGTCTTTATTAATCTACTTTTTTCTGCTCTCTCCCAATCTCCAAGTCATGGTGATTCATGTGGTTGATATACCTTGCATTATTTCTTCTTCCCACGCCGAACTTTTAAAATTAACATAAGTGCTAGATTTTTCTTTTTTTCTGTTGACGTTGCTCAGGAAATCATTGTTGAAGTTTTTTGAACTGTGTCCAAATATGATGCCTATTGAGCCCTTACTGCATCATCAGACATCCTTGAATGATTCAGTAAATAACAACCAAATGGAGACCAAAACGTTTTGGTCACTCGATGAAGAAACTGATGTTAAATTTGCAACAACCAATGTTTTTCCGGCCAAAGTTGCTCCAGCTGAGCGAGAGAGCTCTTCTGAAAGTGAGGATTCCACGAATTCAAGTCATGCAAATAACCCCTCTACTGAAAGAAGTCGACATGTTGTAAGGTCTGCAACACCTAGAAGATCTGCTTCACCAATGCGGCGCATCCAGATAGGCAGATCTGGTTCTCGTAGATCAACTACGCTTACCATTAAGAGTCTTAATTACTTGCAATCGAGAGAAACACCTATATCTTCTAATCGAGATGCTGATGTAATGGAGAATGGGGATGAGGAACTGGAACATCTACCAAAGAAGCCTGACAATAACGTTGGAAGGATGAGCGTTCAAGATGCTATCAATCTCTTTGAGAGCAAACAGAAGGTTCCAAATTCAGATGTTAAAAAAAGTAAGACTTTAGAGGTATCCATTGGTGCCAACAAATCTATTTTAAGAAGGTGGAGTTCTGGAATGGGTAATTCCTTTATTTGTTCCACAGAAGAACAACCATCAAATTCTTGTCAGCAGGTTGCTCAAAGCAAATTGTATACCGAAGCAGAAGAGAATATGGAAAATAATATGAAGGATGATCTTTCAAATCCAGAAAATGCTCCCATAGTAGGTATGCCGGGAGAAATTGCCAGGATCGTTGAAACAACAGTTTCAGAAGGGATAATTCCTTCTGAAACTGTTGTTTCAATGGAATGTGTGGATAGAAAAGACCAACCATCAACAGCTGATTGGAATCGGCAGAAAGAGGAGGAATTGAATGAGATGCTTACGAAAATGATGAGTAGCAACAGTGATATGAAAGTTGGTAATGATATGTTGAAAGATGAGTCTATTGATCAAAGAGGGGGATTTTACAGTCAATATAATGAGAAAAGGAACCAGAAACTTCGAAATGAGAATGCTAGGAATCATGCAACAAGGGAAACACAATTTAAGTTGATGACACACGAGACACTGGAGAAGAGCAAAGCAGCAATGACATCCAAACCCACTGGTTCTGCTGTAAAACGTGAATTCAGGCATCTCTCTCAAAACCCAAGGAGAAATTCTTCTCCCCCTGTTTTATCTAAGAAAGAAGTTTCTAAGCCAACCAACACAAGGAAAGCTTCTTCTAATTCATCATCTCAGCATACTCAGAGATCTTTTCCTTCTGGATCTTTGAAAAAATTGGTCGGTACATTGCCAGCTAAGAGCTCTCCTGTGGTTTCAAGCACTCCAAGCTGCCAAAAATCCCAGCCTTCAAGTTCTCCAGCTCGGCCTAGTCCCAGAACTAAGAAACCGCTGCAGCATATGAAAAGCTATAACAGTGCCAGTATTGTCCAAGATGACATTAAACCAATTTTATTTGGGCAGGAGCATAAAATAGTGAAAGTGGTGAAAAAGAATAGCATAAATGTGAAATCTAGAAGCCCATTATCTGGGGAAAATTGTGGTTCATTACCGTCTAAACCAAGTGTTCAGAGCAAGAATACGAGGAAGAGCAGTGTAGTACCACTGGAATCAAAACCCTTCTTGAGAAAAGGTTCTGGAATCATTTCTGTCAATGGACATTCAGTTGCTAAAACAAAGGGTACTAGAATTTCAAACTCATCTGATTCCTTAAAGAGCATTGAAAAGCCTGTCCTACATGAAGAACTGGAATCCAATCCTTCCCCAGCCGGCTCAGCAATTAAGGTAATAGGGTATGATCTTGCCCAACCAGCAAATGTTGTTGATGAAACTTTAGCTGCTCCTCTTGGTAATGATGATGGTAATATTGAAACCACAGAGATTGTAGATGGGAGTCTGACAAGAGTAGATAATGAAGTCAAGAACCCTGTGGAACCTGTCATTGCTGTGAACCATCAAGAAGAGGATCTGGGCATCTCATCGGCTGCATGGGTGGATGCAGAAAGCCAGGAATATTCTCCATCGTACAATAATAGGCATCATCACGTTGTTATTTCTCCTTTGATTGTACCAGTCGCATCATCAAGCCCAAGAGTGCGTCATTCATTGTCACAAATGCTTCAGGCTGACAGTACTGAACTGGAGATAATTGAATGGGGAAATGCTGAGAATCCTCCTTCCTTAGTCTATCAAAAAGATGTACCAAAAGGGTTGAAAAGGCTATTAAATTTTGCTCGAAAGAGTAAGGGAGAGTTAAATTTGAGCCCTTCAGTATTCTCTGAAGGAGATGAAGAACATGAAGAATCTAAAGCAGCCATTAAAAGAAGTTCAGATGCTCCATTGTGGAAAACTTCTCTTCAAGCCCAGGGTTATGGACAGCCAAAAAGAATAGGCAGTGAGAGCCTAGATTTGGGGAAGTCCATTAAAAAGACTATGGAGCATAGGGGTGTCCGTGACGACTTATCAGGTACGTCTTCTCTTTGAAAGAAAGTGTAAACCTTGAACAATTAATTAGTTTTTTAAAAATTGAAAGTAACTACCCCGATCTTGTGCCTACACGGGCTAATGATCCTTTTGCTTCGATGCGTCCATTTTGTAGAAATTCCTATTTTACTTTCCATGTTTTTTTCTTGTGAAAATTTACCAAAAATCCAGATATTTCTCCATTTTTTAAATGTGGAGGAATGAGAAAATCTAGCTAGTTAATATTTTTGTTAGACAGTTATATATTTGATCACCCGTTCCTAATTGGGATGCTTGGATCAGAATTTGATTAGTCATCATAGAGATATTGCTAGCTATACTTATTTAACTTGGTTCCTGTTTTTCCCCCCTTTGGGTATTCTGTTTAGGTGAATCTAAAGTTGGTTTAGCTGGTTCTGCAGGTTCTGAAAAGCTTCGAAATGGCCATTTGTCAGCTGGAGTAACAGCAACTAGAGGTAAAGTGGTAAACTGGAAGCTTTAGTTCCGTCATCTTCCAAACTTTAATCTTATTTTCTGTATCTTCACATACAGCAACACGGTCATTCTTCTCACTGTCATCATTTAGGAGCGGCAAATCAAACTAGACAAAGCCTCGATAGCTGTCAAACCTTTTGAAGTTCATTCTGGAAAGTGAACAACCACTGTTTTCCTACAGGTTTAGAGGGCTTAGATCATTAATTTATATCTGCTTGTTTGTTGATATCACCTTCCTCTCTAATTGTTAGTAAATACTGTTCTTGTTTTGCAGTGCGATTGTTTGTGTAAATGCAATTCACAGGTACATTATATATTTTCTTGTTTGTACTTGGCCAGTTGATAAAATGAATCCAAAATTACTTTAATATCAGCTTGTTTAATTAACGAATCAAATAGGAACTTAGAGAGTTAAATATGAGCGGTTCTAGAGAACAATGGGTGTTTTTTTAATAATCATGATCTTTGAATCAGTAAGATCGAATAAGTCTTATCATCCCTTTGCACTAAATCACCTAGGAATCGCCCCAGGCTTAATCTTAATGATGTCTTGCCCTAAATTTTTTTTTTTTTTTGGAACGGGATATTCACCTGTTGCCACCCTCGAAAGGACGCTTGGCGATGTGACTAATCCTTGGTTGATCTAGAGGGGGCACCCACCCTAGAAATCTCCTGGCCCGCACTTGATTGAGCCTCACTTAAAAGGCGCTGCTGTTCAAGGAGAATAGAGTATGGATTGGGGGGTTCCCAATCGTACTCGCTCACCAATTAAGCTAAGCAATAGTGGGTCTTGCCCTAATCTTTAGGTTGATCCCGTAATGGCACTAAGTCATTATTTTGCACGAAAATCTTAGACTCACTGCCTGGTTCTGCTCATAGCCATTAAAGCCACATTGCATCATTCCGCCTTCCTCCATCCTAACAATAAAGAGCTTCATTTCCATCTTCTTTTTCGTCTTTCTTCAAGTGAATCCTCATTTTGTTCCTTCTCCATCTACCGAAAACCACCAAAGACAATGAGTCCTTATCTTCTTCCTCTTTTTTATGTATTCCATTAACTTTTTTTTCTTATTCCTTCCATCGACTCATCATCTTCTTCTCAATCCATCAAGAGCCATCAAAGACAATGAGTCCTTATCTTTTTCCTCTTTTTTGTTTTATATATTCCATTATTTTATTCCTTATCATCTCATTATTCTTCACTATTCCTTATCTTTTTAGAACATTCTTGCTGTGTTAGCATATGGATGTTAACATAGTACATGACTTACAATTCACATACAAATAATCATGACCATAATCATGTTCAAAATCATGTTGAATGGGCGACATTTTTCATTTATGCAATGTAATAAGAGAGTTAAATATTGATGCACTCTATTATGAATTATATCAATATAATAACACTACAAGAAATTCAACATTTTGCAGCGGAATAATTCAGCCAAAACAAGAGAAATCAGTTGCAAATTCTAGTTTGCGGTAGATTTGGAACGGCATTGAATCTGCTGTTAAAACCCGCACCGCCTAAAAGCATTTGCATCTGAATAGATTCATTGCAAATATTTTGCGACGAATTTGCAATGATTGTGCGATGGAAAATTCATCGCAATTTGCAGCGGAATATCCATTGTAAATTATGATGAAAAATTCATTGCAAATCCGCCGCTATTTGTGACGCAAGCAATGATACTGGATCGTCATATTAAGGTTTGCAATAGAAAGTCTGTTATAAATCCGCCATAAACATGTAGCATAAATTAAAAAAAATATAACAAATCCTGCAATCGATTATTGAGCTTTCCAACGGCAATAATTACAAGCAATTTAGAAGCAATAATTAAAAGTTGATATAAGAACCAATGATAATCAAACCCTGTCAAACATTCCAATAGCTCAAATAAAGAACAATATTTCATAAAATTTTACAATTGTCATAACACTGTTAAAGTCACAATTGTTCTTATACATCAAAAGAAGTAAACTAAATTAAGAATATTTTTACAAACACTTTAGGAGGAATCTATCTCCTCACTATCATGCTCGGTCGATGTACGTGCAGGTTAGTTTATGCCAATTTGCTCCCCCAATCTCCTAAGCTCATTAAGTATCTGAATATTCATGACATTATGTATTTTTTGGACATTTTTTAACTTCGTTGTCAGGTTAGCCACCTGTTGGTTATATAAAATCTCATAGTTGCTTTGCAAAGTAGCTGGTAGCAGAAGAGGACTGTTCCTTGTAGGCATAGGTTTGCGAGCCTAATTCATAAACCTTCGCCTTCTACAATCCACCTATTGCTTGCGATCAAGTGCTGTAGTCAAAAACATCTGTAAATTCCCTAGAGAAACCCTCACTTGTTGCAGCCTAGCTCTCTCGAAACCTTTTATACTAAACTTACAAAACACAACATAAGATTCATCATCGTATAATCACAACTTATAATATTTTTGTCAGTATAATATCCTTATATACTTATATATGCCCTCCTAGCTCGCTCATCGACCCACTGATGGTCCTCCTGACTCTTATAAGTGTGACTATGTAACTCAATTGTAGTAGATTCTCTACCAAACATATCTTTCTACAATATATTTAGATTAGATGCATAAATAAAAACTATTAAAATATATTAAAAAAATTACCAATCGACGTCTATGCTCAGTGTGTGGAACTAAGCCTCCAGTATAGAGAGAGCTACTCAGGCCCCTGGCATCAGAAGCTCGGTTCTGTTTGTTCAGCTCCCTCTTCGCTGTGAAGTCTGGGTTTCCCCAAGCACTATTGAGCTCAATTCATACACCCTCTCCAATCAAACCGGTCGCTCGGCTGCCCTCCTAATGCAAGTGAACATGTCTTGCAGGCGAGTTACTCCACATTTCTCAAAATTTATTATGATTCTAGTATCAATTAATAAACTTAGAAAGAAAAATATTCTTTATCAGCATAATAAAACATGAAGATATGTTAATAACATTTCAACTTACTAATCTCAAACTCTATGAACCACATGTCGTGCACTTCCTTTGTAATTTTCTTCCAAGAGACATGTGGAGCATCAAACCTGTTCCGTATGATATCCCGTAGCTTATGCGTGGGCTGCTTTGATGGATAAAACCTGTACAAAATATTTAGTTAAAGAATATTATTTCTCAAAGATATGCGTAACATAAAACATACATATTTAAGTACGTGTCACTCTTAGGCTGAATCAACTTCCACCCTTTTCAAATACATTTCTCGAATACATGCCTAATATTTAAAAAGAGAAAAACTTTTAAAAAGTTCTTCCATTCTTTTGAAATGCGTACTCAACATGTCGGCAGAATGTGTCATTTCCAGCATTCGTGGCTTTTGCATAAATGCGTTCAGTCGTCGTCAAAACGGGCACTTTGGTCTCAAATCAGACATCTCTTGACGGAAAAATAATCAACAACGATCACTTTGAAATCGTCACTACTCTTTCCAGAAGAAAAAGCATCTTTAGTTATTGATGCTTTTTCTCTGCCTAAGCAAATGTTCTCAGTTCTCACGTCTGAAGTTATATATAGATATCAAATGGTATGTCATTAATCCTAAAGATATTAGAAAAATTGTTTTTTTAATGATTTTAATCTTATATTTAACTTTAGAATATCACTTTATTTAAATGAAGAATATAATAAGATAATTAAGCTCAAATCCTATTGAAAGAACATTTTTTTAGATTAGAAATAGAAGTGTTTTAAAAGTATTAATGTTTGATTTGGAGTAAAAAGAAATGATGCATTCTCTTTAGGGGTGTCAATTTCGGGTCATGTGTCGGGGTCGAACCCGAACTGACCCGGGTTCAAATGGGTTGACCCTAACCCGACTCGGGTAGATAAACGGGTGGGAAATCTGAACCCGGACCCGACCCGACGGGTTGCCGGGTTGACCTGACCTGACACGGGAAGGAGACCAGCGCCGCATCGCTGATGGGTCGTGGTCGAGAGCGGACGCTGGTGGCGACGCGAACGTGGGCTGGCTGGGGCGGCGGGCGCACGGGTGCGCGGCTGGTTGGGTGAGCCGG